AATCCAAATCGCAAGGCCAATAATCGCAATCGCAGCGATACAATCGCATTCGCATCGGTATCCTTGCTTCCCTTCAGAAATGGTTACGCCCAATTTTTTTCGCAAAAACCTATGACCATGGGAACAAGCAAACTCTCGATTGTTTGACCGTTTTTTGAAACTTAAACTTATGTCAAGTCTACCCTCCACGACAATCTGCAGTGTTAGCTTCAATCAAGAGTACGAGTTGTGGAGAGCTGCAAGTACTCGGCTCCCCACAAGTACTTTTTTTGGTCTCAAAAAGTCTCCTATTTGTCTTCTTTTTGTGTTCTTGTTTGTCTGGAAGTATATAACATAGACAACTTCAGCAGTGGTAAAATCGCGGAGGGTAGACTTAAATTGAAAATTCTCTGGATGCTTTTAAACGACTTGGTTTATTCATAAAGTTTTGCCGATGTAGTTATATAGCGTTGGTATGGCCCTATCTATCCTGTGCGTGGACTGACTGATTGGTTAAAATAGTATTTGTCTGCTTACTGACAAGTGTGGGTTGTCTAAATCTGCTACGTAACTAGCGGATCCTTTTTGCATTAGCCGCTATGTACTAATTTTACTGAAAGAAGTTGTGGCTTCAGAAAAGGCTATTATTTCATAATTCGATTTTAAATAATTTGGAAAGGAATTTATTGTAAGCTCGATTTCATAATTTATTTTTATAATTCGATTTTAAAATTTAAATTAATTTATTTGTCTTTTTTTTTTATTTGCTGATTTGTAAAATTCCCACTAACCGCTTATCATGGGTTATTTCAGTCCCCTAAAGTCCAGTCAAAGTCCTTTTTTTTTACCTTTATGCTGCGTCAAGATAAGGAAAAACAACAAACAGTGTACAAGCAAAGATTGCTTAAAACCTTCAGGACTGATAAATTGGATTAGATGTGATTGTTGTTCTAGTTGGTATCATATCAGTTGTGTAAATATTTCTCTTAGCGACTCGAAGAAAACCCAATGGTTTTAGTGTCCTTTATGCGCTGATGTAAGATCTGTTAATAAAGCAACAATAGGTAATGATTTAGTGCTAGAGAATTATGTTAATACAGCCATCTCAAATGTCCGAGTACTCAAGAGAGTACCAAAAGACTCGCGTGTTCCCTTGGCGGAAAGTCTGTCGGACAAAATAAATGACATCGTCTACAATGTAGAAGATGTTACAAAGTGGCTAATTTTTTTAACGTCGTTCTTGTTTTTTTTGGAGCAACCGAAAAGAAGTGGACACAAACAGACCACAAGCATGAGCTCTCTGATAAATAAAAAAATTCGAGCAAATGACGTGTCACTTCCAAAACCCCATCCCCAAGCTTCAAGCCCGCCTCTGAGTGACCTCGAGCAGAGAATAAAGTTAATAAGTAGTAAGCTCAATGAAGGAATTGTGAAGAGAGGAATAAGGCTTGCTGCTTCGGATGACAAAATAGCTCCTTTTTCACATGATAACTATCAAAAATTGTTGTCTAAGCACCCGCAGCGAGCCAAATTTGCAGCTCCAAATCCAGAAAAGTTGGATAGTTTTTTCATAACCGATTTCGACCTATACAAAGCGATAATGTCCTTTCCAAACGGATCAGCAGCAGGCCCTGATAAAATAGTTCCTCAAATTTTTAAAGATCTTATTAGTAAGTCGAATGGCAGTGCAGGACTTAATTTTCTGAAATCGCTTACTAAGCTGATAAACTTAAGTGGAGATGGCAAAATATCCGAACCACTAAGACCTTTCTTTTTTGGCGCAAAGCTCATCGCCCTCATAAAGATAGACGGAGGGTTGAGACCGATTGCCATAGGCAACACGCTGAGACGTATCGCGTCTAAATGCGCTGGAAGCAAGGCCCTCTCCGAGCCTTGCATAATGTCAGAAGACGGAACTCAGCAAGGTGATCCTGAAGCCCCACCCCTTTTTGCGGAAACAATTCATACACTAGTCAAACAGTTGGAGTCGAAAATTAACATCTGGTTTTTAGATGATAGGAATTTAGCCGACAACTATAAGGTAGTACTCCGGGACCTTAAAACATTCTGAAATTGGAACGAAATTACGGCCTGAGCTTAAACACTGAGAAGTGTGAGCTTTGTTTTTTGGGACCGACTACTAGTACACAGTATAATTCAATTTTAACACAATTTCGAAAATTATGCCGCAAAATAAAAATAAAAACAAAAGAAGAACTCCTCATTTTAGGATCTCCAATCGGCGAACTTTGTCGAAAAGAATTGCTCGACGAAAAATTTCGGTTTTCATTGACAAACTAGATGCCCATTATGGTTTTTACCTCCTGAAAAATTGCTTTAGCATGCCAAAACTCCTATATTTTTTGCGTACAAGCCCTTGTTTTTTGCAAAATGATTTTTTGGAACGCTACGATAAATTATTAAGAAATTCGTTATGCAAGGTCACTAACGTGAAAATGGATGATAACCAGTTTTTACAAGCAGTTCTCCCAGCAGCCAAAGGTGGCTTGGGCGTTTCTTCCGCTCGTCTACTCACTTTACCCGCTTTCTTAGCCTCAGCAGTAGGAGCGAAAGATGCCTTGAGCGAAATCTTTGGTTTGGAGCATGTGGATGGTACCTATGATGATGCGCTTAAACGGTGGTTTGACCTTGGAAAAATTGAAATGGCTCCGGAAAATGAAATCCAAAAAAATTGGACGGAGCCAATTTTTGACAGCGAAATTGCAGACTTGATTTTACGACTCGAACCAACGGACGTAAAAAGGTTCAACGCGTTCCAAGATATATTTGGCTCCCAATGGTTGAACGTCATCCCAGGCAAAAATTTAGGTTAAAACTGTCGAACCAACAACTCAGAATTGCGATAACACTTCGATTAGGATCAAAAATATGCGAACGGCATAAATGCGTGTGTGGAAAAGACGTTACCGAGGATGGTTGGCATGGTCTTTCTTGCCTCAAAAGTGCAGGGAGATTCTCTAGGCATTCAAACCTGAATGCACTTATAAAGCAGAGTCTATCATCTACTCACATTCCGTCTGTTTTAGAACCACGACACCTCTACAGGACCGATCAGAAGCGACCAGACGGTTTGAGAGATGGTAAGCAGCTCTTGTGGGATGTAACGGTAGTAGACTCCTTAGCTCCTTGTAGGATTAATGCCGGGTCTGTTTGTAACCCTGGTACGGCTGCTGCTGAAGCGGAAGAGCGAAAAATTGACAAGTATAAAGATCTTGTAAATGATGGATAACTTTTTCAACCGCTAGCTTTTGAAATTCAGGGCGCGGCCGGCCTCAGCACAGAAGTTTTTTTCGAGCAAGCTTTGTAAGAACCTAAGCATATGCACTGAGGAACCCAGAGCAGGTAGCTTTTTAAAACAGAGAATCTCCCTGGCAATACAGATTGCGAACGCCGCTTGCGTGCTCGGAACAATAAATGACAAAATAACTTTCGACGAAATTTTTTACTTCTAACACTTGTATATTATATTATCTCGTGTCGATTTGCGTGTTCTTATTGAAGAAACGTAACCCGTATCGATTTTAATTGAAAAGGACTTAAACACTTGTCATTTTCTTTTATCATTATCACTTTCATATCTAGAAAATACCAACGATTTTGACTGGAATAAATGATGAAGGGACTCATGACTGTAACCGCGGTTACTATGATACTTTTGACCTTCTGATTACCTAGAAAAAAGAATTATTTCAAACTTTTCCGAATTATTTTTCATAAAGTCCATCTCATATCTGGTTTTATGGAGAATTTTCCATTTAAATTTTTCATCAAAAAATTTTTCCATTTTTTCTCATAAACTACCATCTCATATCTGGTATTAAGGAGTTTTTTTCAAGTTAAATTTTGTAGAAAAAAATCTGAGTAGAAAAAAAAGTAGAAAATGTTGAAAAGAGTGAATAAATTTGAGGAACAAAATAATGACAGGATGCCCAAAAATCTTTTCTACTTCTTTTCTTGTAACCCAATGTTTTTGTTGCATCGCAAGTATTGCGAAAATCAGCTTCGCCACTGTGTTCATTTTCATTTTTAGATTATTCTGTCAGAGCCAACGATCAATCCCAAATAATGTTTTTGAGAGCATGAATGTAATTTAATTTTAATAACATCTTGATTTTCTGGATTATTAAGAGTAATGAACGTAGTGAAGACTCTTATATAAGTCTTGCTGATTTTTTTGTTTTTTTTTTGAGGAAAAAGTCTTAAAATATTGATGCACTTAGGTATAATGCGTTTTTTGAGTTCAATTGAAATTCATCTGCTGAAAGTAACGTAAATAGCCTTCTCCAAATACGAACATGAACGATGTCGTGAAAAAACGTGAACGATTTCTAGTCTTGAAAGTGGAATTTAAATTTTAGATTTCCAGGGGAATAAAAACTTTACCTGTTGATCCAGTTTTCTCTAGTTGGGTTAATGTTATCAAAAAGCGCCAGTCATAAATTGTTCTAGAAATTCAAAGAGCTTAAAGGGCGTCCATGTTTTTCTTTGAAATTCGAAAGTTGAGAATTTTGCAACAAAGTTGGTGTTTTTTATGTTTACTTGCGTTCATTACTCTTTTCCAATCTTCGATTGGCTATGTTTTCTTATTCAAATTTTTCTTACTATATCGCAGTGTATTGTAATTTAGCAGTTTTGTTCCCAATTAATTTGTGAACATACCTTAATGGAATACTTTCTTTGGAAAATAAACGGAGTCGTAAAGTAATGCCGGAAATGAAACTTCCCTTGTATCTCTCATTTTCAATTTTCAGCGCAAAAGTTACTGTTTATGGCTAAATGTTTCCGTTGAAGTATTTATGTACGCTATCGGTTAAATTAGAAATTGGTAGTGTTCAGCTGATATGTTTTAAGTTTCAATTTAATAATATTCAATTTGATGGAATTAAGCTGAGTTTTGTTTTATGACAGTTAGTAAGTGCACCTGCGCAACTTAAATTCTGAAGATTCGTTTGTTGTTATATTGTGAGAATAAAGCACCTGGTTCGCAGTTAATTAAAAAGCGTCATTGAGACGATGAGGATCTATTGTAAAAAACTTCACTTTATTGATTCTCCTCATATAGTTTGCTCGATTTAATTTAGTTTTACCGACAATCTTTGTAGCCTGATCTTTGTGGTCAGATATTCGTAGTTTTTGCGTAGAAGTTTATTTACAGTCTTTCTTTCTTGTTTATTCAAAGTTTTTCAATCGTAACCAAACTTTTCTGCCGCTAGTGAACTGAATTTAAGCACAATCATCATGGCCCAAAGCTCTTCCTTCGCTGCTTTAAGCGCTCTCAGGTTAACCATTTTGACTTTTCCAAATTGAGGTATACAGATATTCAGGTATAGTCATATTGGTAATTATTGAGCTTAGACCTGATGATCTAAAAGGTTTATCAATTTATTCGATTCATGCCAAAGTTCGCGTTTGTAGCTTGAGTGATTTCTTTTTGCCCAGTGTTGCAGTGTGATAGATTTGATTTGTTTTTCAGAAAGTTTCAGAAGATGGGTAAGAAGGGACCTGAAAAAGGGAAGGATAAGTCAGGTGGAGGCGACAACAGGGACGACGACCCTTCCAAGACACCAGGTAGGAAGTCTCAACTTTACTTGAAACTTTCCCATCAAAGCAACCTTGTTTAATGTTGACTGACCTTATTTGACCCCACAACTACTGGGATGCTGTTTACTGAAGAAAATATGTTCCGACGAAAGGTATTCTTGACACAGAATTTAAAAACAAATTAGTCGAAACAATTAATTTTCAGAACTTTTTTGGGCGCTTCCATAATTGTTTTTACAAAGCGAAGCTAGAGGTGATATTATCTGGTTGTTAAATTGATCGGAAAGCTGTAGTTTATCCCTTGACACTTCCTTGTCGGAATCGGGATCTTGCTTTTTCTAGTCAAACAATCAAGGTAAGTGCAGAACGGTTGCAGATTTTGTTTTGAATATTCGGATAATGCTCAAGTTGTACAATTTTTCCGTGTACTTTTGTCTTATCACTGTTCTTGGTATGCCAATTTGAGCAAGGCAAATATCACAAATGTTTTTTTTTTCAATTTAGTCAACTATTTCAGATAAACACGTTTGTCAGTTCCTAAATTTGCAGCAGATTTAAACCTTATTGGTCTGGCGTAACTACGAACTAGTTTTTACGCTTGGGAATAGCAAGGCCCAATTTGTGAGGCTATAACCGAAATTTTACCTTCCATATTTATTGCGGAGAATACAACAATTCTAAGAAATCGCCAGGAAATTTTAAACGAAGCTGAAGCCAAAAAGAGAGCAACGAGGAAATAAGAGGAGCAAAATAATGATGATAACGCGGAAGTTGTGCTGTTTGGAATTGAGTCATCTGAATTGAAGCATACCGTTCCTTGGAAGTTTGATTGGCACCAAAGCGAAAATGTAAACCGCGAAAAACACGCGGTAGGACTTAGAGCTAAAGTAAGAAACCGCCTAAAGGGTGCCGAAATAACCAAGAAACCACAAGCGAATGTATTTCAAGCATGCGTACAAAGGACTGTACCTTTTGATAAGGCTGCTTGCATGTGGTACGATACAAAAAGCTTACAATCTCGGATTAACTGTTGCTATCGACACATTTGGTGCAATAAAAAGGAGCCCCTTCTTTTTTAGCTGGAAAAGGAACCTCATGTACTTCTTAGAAACGGAATGGAAACCATTAGGATGGAAAATTGAAAAACTTATCCTAGAAAAGATAGGGCATGTACTGCGAATGTCTGATAATAGACACATCAAAAAAATCCATTCGGGTGGTTGAAGTCGCTTCCAATACGGTAAAGAAATCGATCATGTGTGGAGCCTTTCAGCGGCGATCGATACCGATGTCTTTGGACATCGCCAATTCCACATTGAATGGTGCAGCACGGACGGAGAAGAACGAATCGGGCGGGTTTTTGGCAAGGCGCTTGGGTGATCCTGTCGACCTGAGTCGCCGCCTATTAGAGGCAGGAGATATAGAACCCAACCCGGGGCCGAAGTGGCCATGTGGCTTCTGCAACAAGGAAGTCAAAAACACAGGATGGTCCATCAAATGCGTAGACTGTCTCCAGTACATACACAGAGAATGCCTGGGATGGAGTGTCAGAGAGATAAAATCCTACGATGGATACAGATGGCACTGCGGTTGCGACCACCTGAAATCAAACACCGCGGACCCCAACCCAATCAGACCACGAACTAAGGAAGGTCTAAAAATCATCCAGTTGAATGTAAATGGATGGCGCGGGAAAGGGGATGTGGTAAAAAAGCTAGCGTACGATACGCAAGCGGACATTCTAGTCCTTCAAGAAACGAAACTGACCGAGAAGGCCAAAGTTCCGAACAGCAGCGACTGGGTTGTATTTAGAAAGGACCGCACTGTCCACCAAACGGAAACTACCAACGAAAGGGCACAAGGAGGCGTAGCAATCGCTGTTAGGCCGGGGCTAGAATGTAAAGAAATCAGCCTAAGTATGCCTTTAACCGCAGCTCTAGAGACAGTCAGCATAGCTGTGAAAACTGGCAATTCGTGGCTGGAAATTCATAATGTGTACCGACCACCAGCAAAATCCAGACAATATGATCAAAGAGACTCAAAGCCATACCTGGACAAATGGCCATGCGGCAGTAACTCCATCATATGCGCGGATATAAATGCCCATGGAAGCTGGGACCGGAACAAAGTCGAGGACAAAATTGGCGAAGAAGTGGACGAATGGCTAATCAATAAGGACATGTGCCTGCTTAACAGCGGAGGAGCAACAAGAGTTGCGAAAAATGGATCAGGGACAGCACCCGACATTACAGTAGTGCACTCATCCAGAGCTAACCACTTTAACTGGACCACAATTGACTCGGTAGGGTCCGACCATTTGCCAATTCTGATATCCTCTTGCCACAAGGTCAGTAAAGTTCGAACCCGACCAAACCTTAACATGAAGAAAGCCGACTGGCCGGATTTCGAGAGGCTACTAGAACAATCTCTATCCCTGCCGGAGGACTTCAAGTCCCTTGAAGCTTTGGAAAAATTATTTGCTAAAGCAATAATGAACGCAGCTAAAGGATCTATTCCGGTAACCACTCGAAAAGATTGCAAACCATGGTGGACCAAAGAGTGCGCTGTTGCGAAGAAAAGTATGAATAATATACAAAGACAGCTTAGGAAATCCCCTGGCGACGATCTTCTCATTTCGGCAGCCGAGGAAGCTTCTAAGGTGTTCAAGAAAACGATAGAGGTCAGTAAACGCGAGGCGTGGAGGAAATATGCAGCTGAACTCAGCCCGCGGGACCCGACCACAAAAGTTTGGAACACCCTCAGGGCCATGGACGGCAGAAAAAAAGAGCGGCTCCCAAATACTCCTATTGATTACGGAGGTAAATCCATCACGGCCGACAGGGAGAAAGCAAAAGTTGCTTGTAAGACGTATGCTTCGGTTAGTAGAGTGACAGTCAAAAGGGAAGATTCGAAACAAGCATACTTGACCCTACGCGAAGCAATTAAGTTAAATTGGGACTCGGAAATCAACGAGTCATTTTCCATAGCCGAATTAGGAGAAGCATTAAGAAGTCTTAAACCCAAAAGTGCGGGCTCCGATGGAGTGCATCCGCTAATGCTCAAGCACCTAGGGGAGAAGGGAAGGGAATATCTACTCTATTTGGTTAACAGAAGTTGGAGTGAAGGCAAAATTCCGGCAAACTGGCGAACAGCTACAATTGTGCCGATACTCAAAAAGAAGAAGCCGGCAAACCTAATAAAGTCGTATAGGCCAGTTTCCCTCCTCTCTTGCATCGGCAAAACTATGGAAAAAATGGTCCTCACACGTTTGGAGGAGTGGGCGAAAGAAATCGAATTAGTGCCGCCTGAACAGGCAGGATTCCAGGCACACCGCTCAACTACTGATGTTATAGCAAACATTACACAAACGGCAATGGATAATCTACAGGTCAAAAAAAGAACGCTAATAGTTGCGATCGACTTTAAGGCCGCTTTCGATAAAGTATGGAGGCTTGGTCTCCTACGGGACCTCGCCGAGAGAGGCTTAGGAAGCGTAGCACTAAAATGGCTGAAATCATGGCTGTCGGATCGCCGAGCCATGGTCAGATGGAACGAAGAATTCAGTAAAACTCTAGTTTTCTCCCAAGGTATGCCACAAGGAAGCCCGCTCTCGCCCCTTCTATATTGCTTTGCAACAGCAAAACTCCCGGAAGCAATTAAGGGCAAGTCGCCATCAGTCATTGTTAACCAGTTCGCTGACGATTTAACTATACAAGTGGCCGCCGAAAGAATAGAGGAAGCGGCAAATCAAATCAAACCAGCGCTTGAATCAATAGAAACATGGGCTAAATCGAACTACGTGGAACTGGCAATGGACAAAACTGTAGGCTTAGTAGTAACAGTTGATCCGAAAGAAACCGGGTGTAAGAACACTCCAGATTTACATATGGGGGGTGAACCGATTAAATATGAAAACTCAACAGTAATCCTCGGAGTGGAAATTGACACCCAATTACGTTTCAACGCGCAAGCCAACACAGCCAAGAAGAAACTGAAACAAAGGCTACAAATAGTACGCTCATTGAGCGGAAAAAACTGGGGAATAAAAGCCAATGACTTGAGGCAACTCTACAAGAGCTATATCAGACCCGGTGGCGCGTATGCCTTTGAAACCTGGGGTATGTTCCTGTCGCCTTCAACGCGCGAAAAAATTGAAGTTTGCAATAATGCAGCGGCTAGGTGTATTGTGGGGGCGCCTGCAGGGGCCCCATCAGTCCAAACTCGAGCTGAGGCTCAGCTTAACACAATATACGAGGAGGGCATAGATAATGCAGCCAAATTACTGGCCAAATGCTGCAACTTCAAACAAAAACATCCCCTTAACAGACTTGGAACAAACCAGTCACAAATAAGGTTAAAAGGAAGGTCGGACTGGCGATCGGAAGCGCAAAAGAGAATCAACGAAAAGATCTTCGAAGACATCAGAGAAGATGTGAACAGACAAAAGGAGGAGCGTCGATATGAGTTATACTCGAAGTTGGTACCGGAAAACCACCCACACAGACAAATGACAGGTGGGAAACCACTTCAGGAAGGAGAAGGACGTTCGAGAGAAGCAGAAGTTAGTCTCCACCGTATTAGACTCAATAGAGCTCCATTTCTGCGGGAAACCCTCTTTAAACATGGGAAAATAGAGGAAGGGTCGTGCCCGCATTGCTTCAGCGAAACTGAAGACACCATACACTGGCTTACGAAATGCCCCAAATGGGATCAAGAAAGAAATGCGATTTTTGGTGGCCAACCACCCGCGTCAATTATCCAAACGAAACCCGAACAAGTAATCGAATTCATCCGTGCTACGGCGAGCAAGCCCCCCAATCATTGACGGGGACCACACACACACACACACACACACACACATACGGTAAAGAAAGAGGAAGGCATTGTTACACCTGACAAGTTACTTAGAGAGGCGGGCTTGACTTAGAACTGTTGATGGAACAGACACAGCATTTAACCAATTGGGGAAATGAGCTGAAAAAAAATTGAACGCCAAGATCAACCAAGAAACCATCGAACAAATTAAAGCAGTCGCCAAGCGTGAAAGGGAACTGACTTGCTCTGAATGTGGTAGTGAGGTCAAGTCAAGGGGAGGGACAGTAAATCGACATGAAGAGAATACATGAAAAGTCATTTAAAACCATCTCATGCACTATGTGCGATGAAGTATGTTCCACGGAGGGCGCAGGATAAAATGCACTATAGCCTATCACAATCAGGTGCCATTGAATGAACAAAAGACATTTTTTAGGCTATGTGGTTTCAGGAAGTCCACGTCGAGTATTTTTTGTTTTGAAGCAATTCGGTCTGAAACTGAAGATTTTTTGATGTAATATTGCAATCGTGCAAGTAATTGAGTTCCAAATTTTCTTTATTCGCCTTTTTTGAAAAATTAAGATATGTTTGAGTTAAGATTTTTGAACGTTTTTGTTGTTTGTAATTTCTTTTTATTCTCATTATTTTCAAGATGGCATTGAATAGTGCCATGTCTTGTAAATAGTTGCCCTCGCCCGATTTGAGTTAGCTAAATTAGTCCTTATGAATCATCTGCGTGTTAAATAATGGCTAGATTATATTAGTTTAGGAAATTATATTTTTCTACAGTCAGTTTTTTTTACGCCTGAACACTGTCATATTTCTGTTTGAAATGTACATTTTACAAGACTAAAAAAATTACTACAAATTTGTAATCATGAAAGCTTAAATTTCAAAGAGCATTAAGGCAAGAAATTTTCTTGGAAAAATATTTAAAAATTGATCAGTCGTTTTTTCAACTTTCTGGTGGCTAAATTGTTATAGCAGCAGGTGCTTCTTCTAACTTCTGTTCTACCTAAGTTTTCACTTGTTTTTTGCTTAGAGCCATACAGTTGCACTGGTAATATAGACACTGATTTTACGGAGCTGTGTCGCAGAGCTCATATGACAGAAATTCCACCGGTGGTGTTGAGGAGCAAGGCCCCTGGACAACCCCCACCGCCCTCACAGGAAACAAAGGTAAATTGGTGATGAAGATAGAAATATCCGTTGGCTTATGATAATGCTCTTAGCCTGATTTTCTCAAATTATTTTGATTTGTGGGTTCATCAAAAATAGACATAATGCTTTTTTCAGTTTTGGGCAACTTTTAAGCTTTTGATAAGTCATTTGCATATTCGGAATTATCAACATTTATATTGCAGAAGTATAAAACAGGAATAAATTGTAGCAAATTCCCCCCATGTTTCCCGCTCAACCCAAAAGTTTGCAATAAATTCGAATCAAATGCAATAAACCGGACCACTAAAATCGACGCACTTCGTGAAGCTCCCGATGCAAAGCTCTACACTTGCTGTCTCCTTGCCAGTGTTTTTTACTACCTCAGAATCTCTACTCGGAAAATTTTCAAATCAATTATCACTTGTTTGGACAAATAAAGGAGCGATAGTAGGCTAAATTACATCTACTCCTTTTCCGAAGAAACTTGAGTCGTCTTTAAATGAATTAGGTCATTGTTGGACGCCATTTTATTGATGCTTTTTTGGTATGCTGGCTCAAATTGTTTCTTCAATTTAGGGAAAGAAGAGCAAGCATGCGACTGAGGTTTGTTAACTGATCTTTAAAGTACTAAACGTTTGGGAATAGGCTGTAAACTAACTATTGCTGAAAAATTTACCTGTTTGTTTGGCTTTCATTAGTGGAGCTCATTGCGTAATCCGACAGCTTTTCGTAACAAAGTTTTTTTCAATTATATCTGCGCTCGATTTTTAAAAGAGTTTTTTTATTGAATGAGCTCAAAATTATGAAGCTATTGTGAACTTAGAGAGTATTGATTAAGGCGCCGGAAGCGACTACTACACAGACTAACGTAACAGCCGCTGGATCTGACGAAGTGGAGTCGGGTGCAATGGGCATTGGGGGGTCAGGAAGTGGCGGGGAAGGGGGAGGGGCATTGCAGGATACTTTCATCCCCACAACGTATATTCCTAAGAGTAATTACGACTACATGCGTCCAGTGGTGCAGGTAGATGCAGACCCAAATGACAAGAAATCAACAGTGAAAGAGATTTATATCAGAAGTGAGTCCAGTTGATTTCTTACTGTAAATAAATGAAGTTAGTATGGATTTATCATTTATTGTCTTTTTGAACTTAAATCAAAAATGCACAAAACATAGATATTGAGGTTATTTATTCTAGTCAATTTTCGCGTAGTTAGTATGTACAGGGGCGGATTTAGGGGGTGGGGGGGGGGGGGGCGGACACCCCCCCCCCCCCTCAGGGATTCGACACCCTGCCGACCCAAAGGGTCCCCCCTTTGGTACTTTTTAAGAAATGCATTTCTGGCCGACCGACCCTAAAATTTTTCTCATACATATATACTAATTTTTAGAGGGGAGCGCGCGCCGAAAAACGCTATTTCTTGGTTAAAATTCTCCAAAAAGTGCCTAAAAAAGCCTTTTTTGGACTATTTTTTCAAAATTTTGCCTGCGGCGCAGGAAGTTTGACCAAAACAGGGACTAAACCGGGCTTAGGGAGAGCTCGAAAAATCGTTTCGGTCGACCTAAAAAAAGGTCGAAAAATTTTTCGAAAATTTATGAAAATCCGCCCCCCCCCCTCGAAAAAATCCTAGATCCGCCCCTGAGTTGATTTTTTTTCGAGTGCTAAGTTTGACAGTCTTGCAAGGAAAAGTCTTTAAAGCTGTTCACGCTAAAATTTGGTTTTTTCGGGGTTTGAATCTTCATTTATTTTTTAAGAGTCGATGAACGTTGTTCAGACTATTATATAGGTCGCGATGGTTTTTGAAGAGTAATGAACGTAGTGAAAACTTTTATATAGGTCTATATAATTTGTTCAAGCTAAAATTTGATTTTTCGCCGTTTGACTTTTGATTTCTTTTTAAGTTCACTTCTTTTTCTTTGCTGAACGTAAGGCAACCTCTAATATTGAATAGCAAAAATGTAAAGGTCACGAAAAACGTTTTCGACTTCTTATTTTGGAAAGGAATCTAATTATCAGATTTCCCAGCGAACTAAAAATTTTAACTATTGATCCAATATTCTCAAATTGGGTTGTTTTTATCAAAAAAGCACCCATCAAAAATTATTTGTGAAGTTTAAAGAGCTTTGAGGGCATATATATTAAAATTCGAAAGTCAGTTTTTTTTTTATTTTCTTGGGTTCATTGGCTCTTTTCAAACTGTCTTTGGGATTTTTTTTGCTGCCTTAAAAATAATTTCGCTAAAGATAAAACAAATGCACTCTCTAAAAGCACTCACTTGTGGATTTTTTGCCGGCATAGCGCATGCAATTAAATAGCGACCTATCAAAAGTGCGATTTTATTGCATGCGAATTGATAATCAAGCTGTTTAGGGGCATTGGCAATTAAGCAATATCTGTTGTATCTGCTATTTTTATTACCGCTAGTGTTTACACAAGCGTAGTGTATTGTAACGAAGGTTTTTTTCGAAGATTGTAACGAAGATTTTTTTTCTAAAGATTAATTCGCAAATAAAAGTGCTAATTTGGTGGCACTTTTGGTTTTCAATTTTATCATGTTTAAGCTTGTGTAAGAATAACCATTTCAATGGCACATGTTGCTGCTTTATTTTTGGCTAGTGCTAGGTCCGGTTTGAAAAAATCATGTATTATGAAACTGTATGATATTTCGTGACGCTTTTTTGTGACGCTTGGGACAGTTTGCATTTTTCGCAGAAAGTTCAAATTTTCACAAAAAATACTGTACCGATTTTCATAAAAAATGGTACCAATGAAAAATTTGGCTGCTCTTCTATGTGCCGGCATATTTCACATTTTTCGCAGAAAGTTCAATTTAAAAAAAAAACTACTGTACCGATTTTCAAAAGATGGTATCATTAGAAAACTGGCTGCTCTTCCATGTGCCTGCTCATTTAGTCTTTTTTCATTTTACCTCACGTTCTACTGCCTTTGACAGTTTCAATATGGGAATTTTTGGCCTATTTGTTCTAAATTTTTTGATTTTCTCAAGTATTAAATGCATAAATGCGAGATAAAGGTCTCAATCAAAAGAACAAATTGTGGGAATCTCCCCTTCTTAAGCGGCTTTACCTTAAATCTGGTAGAAAAAAAAGATATGGCCTCAAATCAGCTCATTTTTGATATAATGGTTAATTTTGAAAGGTTTTTGAATGTTTTCAAAAACTTCCCTGCCAAATCGGAGATTAAAGGTTTTACTGAAAAGACTAAAATCAGTTATGTGAATCTTACCTGTGTTTTGAATCTTAGCTGTGTTCAATATTTCAAGTTTTGTCGGTTTTTTTTGAAAGGTATTATTTTCATAAAGGAAGCTACTGGTTTTAATGTTTATAGTTTATTAAAACTAATGTGTTGCCTAAATTTTTGTGGCGTAATCTGTTTTACCTTGTTAATTTTTGTCGAAACGCTGATATAAATTATCCTGACAAATCTCAAATACAAATTTCAATTGAAAAAACGATAGTATTTTTCTACTTTAAGTAAGCGGTTATTCCCCTCCCCCCTTAAGCCGAGAATCTCTAATGTTTAGCGTAAAGTCCACTTTTTGAAAATTACTCATTTCCGTATCAGTACAAGATATGAATAAAAATATTAGAACAGCTAGATACAGCATTAACTGGGCCACTAATTTACTTCCTAGTGACCGTTGCGCAGATGCGAGGAGATGATGTTCTTAATCCAAAGGTGAGATTCCTAATTTTTTCCCTATTTCAGTTTGTTTTGTCAGTTTAGAGCAGCTCGTTTTTGCTTTTTCCTCTTGTTTTTGCGAAGCAGAGTTTTGCCTGTGTTTTGACTATTGTTGAGTGACCATAGTGGAGATTGCGAGGACGTGAGACGTTTAATCTCCAGGTCCGGGGCTCGACTCCGGGACATTTTAAAAGTTTTATTTTTACCATTGACATTTAAATAGCATCTCCTGTATCTGCGGAATTGTTGGTTAGTGTTTGCAATTGTTGAGCGGACCTGGCGCAGAATTGAGGACGTGGGACTCGATCTCCAGGTCGGGGGGTTTGATTCGGACACAAGTCAAAAGTTTAATTTTTTCTCTTTAATTTTTTATGTTAAAGACTACTTTTTATCGCTTGTGTTCGCAAATTCAGCGTCACCTCTGTGTAAATTTTTTGTTTCATTGGTCATTAAGTTTTGCGTTAACTTTTGCCGTACCTTATCAACGTTTAGTTTATTTTGATTTAGTAGTATTCTGAAGCTTTCTAAAACCTGTGGTTTGTTTGATTTCATACTTTGCTGATTTTTGTTATTGATTTTTTGGTAATAAGTGACTTTTTAGTGCCTATGATTTTGATTTTTTATTGTTGGAATGGAAAAATGGCATAGAGTTTGTGGTAAGTTAGTTGTTTTTCCCATGGAATATCATCCCTTATTTTTTATTGTACAAGCGCTGTGAAATTCTTAAAAATTAAACGCCAGTTTTTAATTCCAAAACTTTTCACGTGAAAGAAGGAACATTCATTAATCATTTTCAAAAAACGCCTTGTAAATTGATTCTTTCAAATTAGTAACTACATGTAGAAGATCAGATAACCAAGCAGCTACTAAACGACAACACGAGCCTCATTTTCAAGTAATTATGGCCCTCATGAATTGCAGAAACAACCGAAATTTGAAGCTCATTTTTGCTCTTTGGTTAATTGTTTGTGAAATGCAGTTTTGCCTGTGTAAAATTTTTCTGTTCACTCACAACATTGTACATCATAGGTTATACGATGAGCCATCATGTGAATGTGAGTTGGGTAACGAATCTTAAATTCACAGAATGTTTGTTTGTGTTAATGTGCTGATGATTCCTCAATTGACAGAAGTGTTTTTTGTGTGTGTTAATGCAGACTGGAAGGTGGATGCTGTGATGATGGACAGTGTGTTGCGAGTGTGTGTGCCTGCAGTGGACAAACTACACCTGCTCACTCTCTACAATGTGGGACTCACCAACCACACTCTGGAGACACTCGGACATCTAGTCCAGGAGTGTCCCAACCTCAAGTGAGTCGTCAAACACGTGAAGCTTATACATAAGTTTAACTTCTCAACCTGTAAACTGCATTTTATAGCGCTTGAAGAACCGAACTTGATCAAAGCGGCGTTGTCTTATAGTTGAGACGTTGGGAAAAAAACGCGCTCTTCTTCGCTTCAGATTTTTATGTTTGTCTAATTTGGTTATCATTTTTTGTATGGTTGGTTTGTTGCAATTCTAAACAAAAGTGTGGGGGGGGTTGCTTTTTAATTGAATTGAGCTATCCTGATTGAATTAATGAAATGTTGAAACGTCTCTGTTCTTTTTGGTCTCCTTGCTTTTTGACTCTCCCTACAGGCTGTTAGCTATGATTATACGCGCTAGCATATTCCCTTCTGCAGTGGCCTTTTATCAATAATTGCCTCGATATCAACAAGTCCAATTTATATCTGTTCTGTTATCGAGCTCCCACTTTGACTAATTTACTCAAGATCATTGTATTCGCCTGGATCAACAAGATATTTTCGCAATAGACCTTGGGATGTCTGTATTTTTTAATCAGCTGATTTTTTATTGCTGTTTTTCAGGACTCTGAACGTGGAGGGCAGTCCAGTGGAGAGTGAGGAGTGGCACAGGCTCATAATGGGAGAGAACAACAAGTAAGCAACAACATTATCAACCACACTCAAGTAATCAATCACACTTTATCAACTAGTATATGGGTGTGGATACAACAGAACAATGGTATTTGTTGCTGTGCAAGTAGCTCAGATTCTTCCAACCACTTTGATTGAATTTTAAAAATTTAAACATGAAGCAAAGTTTTTAAAAAAAATTTTTTTTACAAAAGTTTTGTTCATTTTGTAAACAAAATTTCCTGTGTTACTTTTTCTATTGAAGGGCGATAAAGTTTGTTTTGAGTCGATTCAAAAGTTAAACTAATATGTAAACTAATATCCAAGGAGAATTAAATTGAGACTTCATTATCAAGTGTTGTCTGTGTTATATGTGAATTTCGTCGCATGAAGTCTTCTTCACAACGAAATTTTTTTTGAAATTTTTCTTGTAATTCGAATCAAGACTAGTAAAGCTATCAGATGATATCACAATTGACCCCCGTAAGATTTCCCTGAAGCACCTAAAAATGGGCGGTAAAAAACTAGATACTCCATAGTTCTTTTTCTTCGTGAAGTTGTTGGATCAATAAAAAGCCCCCCTTCAAGATCTGTTAGATTTTTTGTTAGTATTCTACAAGATTAATCATTTCTTTTTCGATTCAGTATACGTTAGTTCTGAAGGAATACCCCCAAAAAACTCGGCTCGAAATATATAGGAAAGTAATACTGGGCGGACTAAATTTTTGATGCCCCCTTTTCTTAGAAATCGTACATGAGCTTGAATCTGGTGTTCACTTTCAGAGTGTGGAACTTGAGTCTGAGGAACAACCGGATCACGGACTTGGGGGCCAGATATCTGGGCTATGCTCTGGGCACTCCGAGGGAACAAAACTCGACTCTGGTGAAATTGAACCTGTCATTCAACAACATCACTGCAGAAGGTGTCACCCTTCTCGCAAAAGTAAGAACAGAATTTTCAGTAGATAATCTGAATTAACTTTTTAAAATTTTTTTGTGGTGTGAAATCTTTATCTGTTAAAAGGCTTCAATTAAACATTGATGCAATATCACGTGCAAAAAAGTAATTCAAAGAATATATTACCAGCTTTATCCTCCTATTCATTTAGCACTAGCAAGCAGCTACATTAGTACGAAACGTCTTTTTTCCTAGCCTAACCCGCAAATACAATTTTCCCTTGAAAGTGTCGTTTTTACTTGTATGCACGGAGTGCAGGTTTAGCTTCGTATTCCCCTCGCGAAATTCCTTGATACACCCTAGGCTGTTGTCATCAGTTTTTTCAAATAAGTGGTTTTTACACTAGCCAGCTTGCGAGCGTTAGTGTGTTACTGAAAGTTTATGCTCGAATAGTGATTTTAGTAGTCTTCTTTTTCGTAAAATTTGTGTGTCCTTACTGTTGGAACTCTTGAAATGCGTCCTCTCTATAAATTGAGGCATGTTAGTTGGTAAATTTTTTTTGTTTTCAAATTTAATGGTGCTGCTAATGCTTCATAATTCGCTTGCGTCACTTAGCAATACTGTGGACTCATAATCGGCATGCGTCACTTTAGAAATTTAGCAGACTCAAAGTTTTACTCAATCAGTTTTTCCCAGTAGCGTTATCGGTCATATTTTTGTTTGTGTATGCGAAGAGCAACTTGGCCTCGGTGTTAATTATTAATTCAAAAAAGTTGTCTGCCTCAATTTTTTTCTAGACGGAAAAATTATCAAAAGCACAAATATATTTTTGATGCGAAGTTGTGGCTTATGTTTTTTTAAAAAATTTTGTGCTGAATTATTTGACTCTCAAACTAGGAGACATTAGACTCGAAAAAAATGTCCTCTTCATTTTGTAGGTAAAATTGTGGGTAATAATGCTTGTCTTCGGAGGCTCAGATAAGTTTTTTTTTCGATTGCATTATTGTAATGGTTATGTTCCTATTCCTTATCTGATCTACATCTTAATCCAATCCACGTATTTGTTTCCGACCGATTTTGTATTTTATGTTAAGAGCTTTGCCAATGAAGCCTCGTTTTGCCGATTTAGCTTCGTATTCGCCTCGCGAAAATCCTTGATGTGTCCTTGGCTGTTGTCATCAGATTTTTTTTAAAACGTGGTTTTTACACTAACGAGCTTGCAAGCGTTAGTGTGTTGTTGAAAGTTTATGCTCGAATAGTGAATGTCGTAGTCTTCTTTAAGTAAAATTTGTGTGTCCTTACTGTTGGAACTTTTTTATTTTTGGGTGTTAAATGTGTCATGTATGTTTTAGGGTCTGCGTATGAACCGATGTCTGCTGGTGTTGGATCTGTCTAGCAATTACATTGGGGATGAGGGTGCGAGGAGTCTGGCCAGTGTGGTGTCCCGTTTCAGACTCACCCACGAGGAGGTGGTCGAGAGGAGAATACGTCAGCGGGACACAGTGTCACCCGACAGGGGCACCAACAAATCAGTCAGTAATCTGTTTTTTTTTTCAGATTCGTTTGTCAGTTTCTAGTTATCCGATTGAAGCTTGTGGAAATCCATCTTTTGGTTAGAAAAAGGTTAGCTAAAGAAAGTTTAATCATTATCCAGATGAGCAATGGATTGGAAGAATTTAAGCTAAAATTTATATTAAAAAACTGTTTTGGGTTCGACTTTCTGTTCGCGGAGTTAAGCAGAAAAATGTTGTTTATTAGTTCTAAGAACGTTTTTGTTTATATCTTGATTATAAAGTTTCCCTTCTTCGTTGATGCATTGTTCTTATCAAAAATGTGAAACTGGAAAATGGCAGGTCTTTCAACTAGTTGTCTAACTTGTATTTTTGTTGTGATATTTCCAGCCGCCCTCCTCTCGCAAGACGGACAGACCTACTAGTAAAGGCACATCAATGGGGGATAAGAAGTCAGCGGCTGACAAAAAGGGCGCGGGGGCAGCAGGCGCAGCGGCCGCCAAAGGAGCCAAGGGAGGGGGCAAGGACGCGGCGGCTGGAGGGGATAAAAAAGACGACAAGAAAGGAGCGAAGGGGGCGGTCGGGGAGGCGGCAGGTGCTGCGACCGCGGCCAAGAGCAAAAAGACGAGCAGTTAGTTCTTTTTAATTTCTTGGCAATTTGGCTGTGTTGTAGTTGTTTATTTTCAAATCCGTATTGTCTTCTTAACTTTAACTTATTTAGGTTGTGCAATTTTGTCAGATTTTTTTTTCAGGAAAATTTGTAAGCGCTTTAGTTGTTGTTTTAAGCATGCATATGTAGTAATGTGTTTTCACACTTTGTTGTACAATTTTCATTGTTTTTTTTACATATTAAAATAGGCCTGAACTTATGAATTTGAAGGCACGGTTCTAAAGATTGAAAGCTATGTAAAAGTTGGTACGGTGTTTGGGATGCATGATTTTTCAGACCCTCCTCCAGTGCAAGTGGATGCAAAGGCAGCAGGAAACAAGACCCAAAGAGGAGGAAAGACAACACCCAAGGGACCCAGGGCATTCAGTCAGGGAGAAAATGAGGTAAGCTATATCACATCCCTGTCATAGTACTTGTTGCTCCGACCACGCAATGGAAGGAACTTAGTATTCGGTTTTCAAATTGGAATATAGAATTTTTTAGGCTAACAACTTGTTGAACTAAATTACTTGAATCAATTAGTAGCTTGATTTATACTAAATTCAAATTTCTTGGCGTCAGCGGAACTCGTGGAATACGGACAGGATCTGTTTCTTTAAATAAACTGAAAATGTTTAGTTTCAAGCAAATTGTCGGCCCATTTTTTGTCTGATTATGTTTTGTCGGCTTAGTTGCCACATGACGGATTTTTTTTTGAGCTGCAAGCCTTTTTTTGTAGCTACAAGTTTTATTGATTTACTCCTGATATTTGTTAATTTACCTGCCTTAAATGGTTTCGTCTTTTGTTTTATCGGCTTTGTGACCTACTATTGCGTCATTTGAAGGGAAACATTTCTTTTGGTCAGCTTCCTCCGGGAAATTACAAAAGGCTTAAAGTATTTTACTACATCAGAATTTCTTAGCTCGATTTTTTTTTTCATGACACAATTTTGTTTCCGGCTATGCGGGAGTTTGTCTAATTTAAGTCGGATTGTTTGCCGCTAGGTTTCTACATGCTAATTAAGAGTAGATGAACGTAGTGAAGACTCTGATGTAGGTCATGAGGAAAAGTCAAAAAATTTGTCCAGGCTCCAATTTGATTTTTCGCGGTTTGAAATTTTGTTTATTTTAACATTCAGGTTATTTCTTTTTTTAAAAACTTGCAAAGCGAGTGTATTAGTACGAATTTTCTTTTTTTTTCCAACCTAAGTCGCAAATAAAAGTTCAACTTTAAGTGGCACTTTTGAATCGGTAGCAGTATAATGTCATATGTGCTTTAATTCATCAAATGAAACGACAAAATTTAATTGTTTCAAACAGTAGTACAATGATGAAAAAAAGCTTTATATCAAAAATTTTTCGACTCAATGTATTTCGCAATTTTTTTTAATGAATCGCATAATTTATACATAATTTGGCTTTGTTTTCCAATTTATTGTCTTTTTGTATTTCCAATTTAATTTTAGTCTTTTTGTATTTAGTGCACCTTTTGCGGTATCGAATTGGCAATTCATTATCATATGTAGCTTGGTTGATAGTGCCTAGTTTTTGGGGAAGTTAAGCATCCATGACTGAGTGGTTACTATGTGAGACTCAAAATTGCAAGGTCGCGGATTCGAATCTTACACGTAGCCGAGTTTTTGCTAATTCGAGGCTTATTTGGACTTTTTTCACTCGATAGAGCTACTTTTTGGTCCTGCTCTCGCAAGTGTTTGCGCAACGCAGCTTTGCCTCTGCGTTACCCTTGCGATCAGCTTAGTGTGTTATCACGAACCTTCTTTTTTTCTAACCTAACTCGCAAATAAAACTATTCATTGAAAGTGTTCACGTATTTGGAAATTTCAGTGTAGCATTGGAAATTGCATTAAATCAGTTCTCTGCTTTTGTTGAGGCTATTGTTTGGCGTCTATTAAGCTTCCGTGGCTGAGTTTTTAGTGTGTGAGACTCTTAATCTCGAGGTCCCAGGTTCAAATCTTAGAAGTAGCCGAATTTTTTGCTATTTCGAGGCTTATTTCTAATTTTACTTTATAGAGCTTTTTTTGTCGTTTTCTCGCAAGTGTTCGCGAAGCGCAGATCCGACTTTGTATAAAAAGAACTCCACTATCGATCAGCAAAAGTGTTAAGTTACTAAAAACGTGATCGACTTCTAGTTTCGAAAGTGGGTTCTATGTTTCAGCTTTTGCGGAATAAAAAGTCTACGCATTGATCTAGTTCTTAAATTGGGTTAATTGAATCAAAAAAATTTCACTCATAATTTGTTGTAAGAATTGAAAGAGTGAAGGACATTGTTTATATTTTGAAATTCGAAAGTTGAGTTTTTTTTCGAATAATAAATCAGTATTTTTTCTGCTTAGTTGGGGTGCATTGACTCTTTTCCAACTGTCTTTTGGCTGTGTTTCTATTTTCGTTTTTGATTTGGAATCTGATTTTCCCACCGTTTTGTATAAACTTTCCATTTTGTAAGAACCATGCGATTTGTTTGATATCATATGTTTCCAGAGTTCCTAAAGTTTGTCTACAAATTATTTTTCGTGATGATTGTTTGGAAATATTTTATTCAAGTTTTTAGGAGTTTCAGTTTTCCTATTTTCTTTTAATTTTCCTTTAACTCTCAGCAAGCAATGAATGGAAGCTTATGATACTTTTTTTGGTATTTTCAACGAGACTTCGTTTTTGTTTTCACTCTCTGAGTTATAGGCGAGCCTTTATTATAGTCTTTTGAACGCTCGAATGATTATAATGATAATTGTATTTATTTTCTGAGACTTACTGAAATTTTTATTGAGTTAATTAATGTTTTAGTCGGCGATTTTTTCATTGTTTTCATTTTTCTCCCATAAGAAAGTGAGCGACTTTTGTTATAAATGAACTTAAAATTTGATTGGTCTGATTACAAAAGGATCACAAGTGTTTCAAAAGGAATCCAGAAATCCTAAACTTTAAATAAAATTTTGTGTTGAAATAGTTTTTGACTTTAATGCATTTTATCAGTTGTTTTTCTGAAGTTAGTAAGTGTCAATAGACGCAGTGAAGACAAATTAAGATGTGATTTTTTTTTCAGTAAAAAAACCTAGAATTTGTTCACGCTTGATTTTTCGCGGTGGCTTTTGATTTTTAAAAACCAGTTCTTTTCCTTTGTTAAAAGGAAGACAAACTCCACTATCGAGCAGTAAAAGTGTAAAGGTCGCGAAAAACGCGATCAACTTCTAGTTGTGAAGGTGGATTTTATCTTTAAGATTCCCCAGCGAAATAGAAATTTTACCCATTGATCCAGTTTTCTCAAATTTGGTCAATGTTATCAAACAAGTGTCAATTATCAATTATTCTTGAAAGAGAATTTTATATTTCATATTTTCCACCGAAATCAAAGTTTTATCTATTGATTAATTTTTTTCTAATTTGGTTAATGTTATCAAAAATGTTATCAATCATAAATTTTTCTTGAAATGCGAAGAGCTTTAAAGGCATATTTTTTGAAGTTCGGAAGTGTATTTTTTTTTATTAAAAGGTTTATTAAAGAGTTTTTTTCTGTTTCCTTGCGCTCATTGATACTTTTCCATTTTTTTGGCTTGGTTTTTTCTTTTGAGTTTTGGCCAAATACTTCTATCGCAAGTTATCTCTTATCGCACGTTATTCGCAAGGCAAATACTTTTATCGCAACGCTCTGCTTTGACCTCTGAGAAAGAAAACCCAGCGAATTAAAAGTAATTGCCTTTTGGTTGATCTAATTTTAGCAAATAAAAATGTAGGTCTGATAGGGCGACTTACACGTGGACAATTGTCGAAGTCTGTACGATGTTATTAACAGTTAAGTGGGTTGTTTTATGCGAAGTGTAGAATAATTTGAGTGTTTTGTTAGAATGGGGACAGTGGCACTTATGAGCAGAAGCACCCACTGGATGAGGAGGTCAACTACGAGGAGGGGGAGGGACACTTGTGGGTCAAGATAGGCAACAGGAGTCTAATCTCCCTCAACCTGAACAGTGAGTAAATACTGCACTCAACAAATCGAACTGCTGAATTGTCTGTCACGTCAATTCATAGAAGTTTTGCTTAGCTGAGCAAATCTTGGTACAATTTCGCCGGTATTTAATTTATACAAGAATTGCATTGTATGTGTTTGTGATAGGGAACCGTATCAGCGAGAAGGGAGCATATGAACTGCTACGAGCGATGAAGTACCAGAGCAGAGTGCATTCACAGGGACCCAAGAACGCACCTGTGGGACTCATGCGACTTACACTCACGGTACGGCGAAGAGAACAACCATCACAAAACTTATGCGTCTTTTCTGTTATGTGGTCCGAAATTACCTAAACTTTGAATGAGGTTTATTTTTGAAATTAAGCTTCAGATTTCCTTCACATTTGCTATTTTCATCCATTTAGAATGAAGCATCCCGATCCAATTTTCAATGTAACAAAACTTCGAATTTTGGGCCGTACAACAGAAAAGATTCAAACTTCATTTAATGTTGCATTTAAAGCCTAAAGCATGAGAATCCGCAAAAAGTAACTCATTTAGTTCATTGGCAGTTAATTAGCTCAGATATATAAAAATGTGCGCAAAAGACTGAATGCGCGCAAAATTTGCAGAAATCAGCGTCCTATAAACCAAAAATTAATTATTGTAATTATTGTTAGGATTTTTCCCCGCTTTTTGGTTACTGAGATTTGATTGGCGGTTAGAATTATTGCGCACTTGGTTCTTAGCGCATAAGGGAATGCCCCTTAGTAAATAGAAGATAAAATGTACTAAACGGTCGCACATATTATACGTTAAATTTTTTGCCTCAAAATTAGTTACCTATAAAATCTAATGAACTGCCAATGAACTAAATTAGTTTCGCTTTACTTCTGTTCATTTCTGCTTAGGTTTTTTGCTTTTTTCAATTTTCGCTGGCCATTTTTTACATGCTGTTCGTTGTGAATTTTAAGAAGGATAAATAGAAAGTATGACATGTTGCTAAAACTAATACACTAGTGGTGATTAATTAAGAGCAACTTAGTCGATGAAGACCACGCGTACATTCGGGGCATAAATGCGATAATGGAAGAGCGCGACATCATCTCGGCCAAAAACAAAGTGCCCCCGCCCGGTGCAGTGCCGACTTGCACCGACGGAACCTCCAACTCCTCCGGAGTGCCCCCGACGATCGCCGAGAAGCCAACAGTGTGTTGTAGTTCGAGCGTTTCATTTGAATTATCAAGTTTTCAGCGAAAACGGATGACAAAAAAGCTGTCATTTGTACGTGTTAATGACTTCGAGTTTGAAATTGGATATAAAATTTCAGATTTCCAGCGGACTGAAAAAAATACGTTCTGATCCAGTTTTCTCAAATAGGGTTACTTTTAAAAAAAGATTCAATCATGAAAGGCTCTTGAAATTCAATGGACTTGAAGGCCATAGTTTTTTGTTTAAAAAATATTTAGTCGTTTTTCTTGGGTTCATTGACACTTTTCTCCAACTGTCTGCTGGCTATTTAATTTTTTAATACAAACTTTTATTAGAAAATGGTAACGATTGTTTATCGATTAAGGAAAAAAGGATAAAAATAACTTAAGTTGGTATCTTGTGCACAACACACTGGAAGTCTTATCAGACTACTAACAACAACGGAGAGAGTGGAGAGCGCAGAGGGTCGATAAGTTCTGGTGCCACTACCAGAGCAGGGTCCAGTCTGGGCCAGCCACAGAGTCGCGCATCCAGTAAAACGACACTTGGAGGCAGAGCCGATTCGAAGGGTTGGTGATTGCGAGCTGCCATGAAGAGAAGAGATCAAATATAGAAGGAGATATAGTGCCACCATTGGTAGAATTAGAACTCCCGTTATCTAGATGTTTTAGAGATGTGATGAGCGGCAAGCTATCATTCCATTTGTTGTGTATTAGATTACTACCATATGTAAAGAAATAGGGGCCATATTTGCAGGGTTAGAAAGGCAGAGCGGCTGTTATTCCATTTATTGTTTTAGATTAAATGTACGAATGTAGAGTAACATTGATAGATTTAGAAATACAAGGAACGTAGGTGGCATTCACGAATTGTTTTTTTTTTCAGCTTGGAGTGGGCAGGAACTATGGCATAGGCTGTTTTTTTCACGTGGTTTTAGTGTCTGAAAACGAGCTTGTAAGAACTCTAGTGTAGTAGAATTTTAAGGCAGTATCTGCCCTTTTGGATTTGGGAACTTTTTCAAAGTTTTCCTGTATCAAATCTTTGCTGCTTTTTGAGTTGTGTGACGTTTTTTTTGGTATTTTTTAAGATTCCTACATGATCACGCCAAAATTTATTTTATTCGCAGTTTTAGTTTCAATTTCTAACAATTTGCTTCCATTTCATTTGCTTACTGTACCGATATGATACTATTTCGCTCTGAAAAGTCGCGAACTTGAAAAACAGTCGATGGGTTAGCACGTCTAATATTTGATATTTGCCGACCACCGAAAAAGTAAATCATCTCAAAAGTTCATGACGCGTAGTGTTCATCTTAAAATCTTAAAAACTTATCGCAGTCTAAATTTGTTTTACAATTCGCCATGTGATTGTTTGTAATTAGGGTGAGTATCATTAAAGCTAGCGTTGTAAGAGTTGTTCGCCTGAGTCTGATTTGGTCAATGTATCTTGTGAGGTTTGTTTGCTTCATTATAAAAGAACTTTTTCAAGTCATATTGCAAAGAAACCAAGTCTAGTAGAGGTCATTAAAAAAAATTGCGTTATTGTGTACAGGGAAATGAAGTGTCGCCACAAAGTGAGACGTATCAGGCTATAGTTAGACTGTGTGCAGAAAAAGACCCCCTCAGAGTTCCCACACCAACACCCCCCTCGAAAACACCGGACGAACTGGACTCACAGTCAAACGTCGGATCCACTGGCAGAAAATAGAATAGAAGACAACCAATTTATAGAATAGAAACTATCAAATTGCTAGTGACGCAGTAACATATTGATATTTCGATTAAGTTCGGACACGCATTTAGTTTAAAAAATTCGCCAATTTGATAAAATTCGTTTTCCAATTTTAATGCTTCGGACGATCTTGAAACATTTGAAAAAGAGGCTTCTACATGCAATTATTCTAGTAATAGCTCAGATGTTCTTTTTTATTTCACTCTTGTCTGTCCGAAATTCTTGCTACTCGAATTTGGGTAAAGGTTTCGGGTGCAAGATGAATTCTACGAACAACGCAAATGGTTCGCGCGTGAGTGCAGACTTTCAATTTGAGATTTCTCCGATTGCTTTTCATGTAGATAAACGCTTCGAGTTATTGGGTGCTTTCTATAAAAATTGCTAATACCAACTACCTACCCTTAACCCTGATCTCACCATGCACCGCCATCTCTCACTTTGTCGGTAGAAGAATTATGAATTATTCACTGTATAAAACTGCCGTAAATGAGCCTTCTCCAATCAAGCAATCAGTCTCTAAATTTCGGGCTGTCTAAAATTCGTTGTCATGGAAAAAGTGTTAACAATTAAACAAATCTCAATTTTCTTGTGTAAATTAACTTGTGTAAATACGTCGACAAATCGAGGTGTAAGTTCAGTGTTAGACTAATTGTAAATAAAGTTCTGAAAATTGTAAATGTGTTAATTATATTCAAATCAAATATATTTTCCTTGAAACGTGTTTTTGCGTACTTTGCTTGATATGCATCCGATCATGAGTCAGATAAATTCACATCGACAAGAAGATAAAAGTCAAAGTAATCTTCAAATAAAAATAAAAGTTTGGAAAAACTTCTGACGACCAAAAGTGATGATGTTATATGATAAATACAAGCAAATTTGTTTCTCGTAAATCAAGAATTAACCTCATAAAAGATTTTTAAACTAAAAACACTAAATGCGCGGAATTCAAGGACATTTAAAGCTGAATATATGTGTCAATGTATGTATTGGAGACAATTATACAGTCAGACTATTATATAACAAAGGCTTCAAGGTATCATGGATATACAGCGTAGAGGCAAGGAAGGTGACCCCAGCTACAAAATAAGAGGTCTCGAACCTGGGCAGGGTCGGATGTATTTAATGAACTTTTTCGCATACTAGTGAAAATGCGTCCGCTCTATAAATTGAGGCATGTAAAATGGTAATTTTCTGTTTTTTCAAATTGACTGGTACTGCTAATGCGTCATTTAGCAGTTATGTAGACTTGCGTGCGTCTCTAAAGAACATTTGCAGACTCAAAGTTTTTTTCATTCAATTTTTCCCAGTTGCAATATCTGGCATGTTTTTGCTTGTGTATGCGAAGTGTAACTGCGTCTCTTATTTTTTGTGTATTTTTGTTCACGCCAGTTTTAATCTTTTTCATTTTTAGTATATATAAAATAAAGAAAGAATTTATGGCTCTTTCCCCCCTCCCACCTGCAAACTTTTACATGTAAATTTGTTGACCACATTGTCCGATTATTATGAAAATTTACATACAATTTGACTAATAAGGCCACGATAAACATATTTGATCCTCATACTCAACCTCGTAAAACCTCTCGTTACACTAATATATTGAAGCTCGTGTGTGGGGAAGGAAAAGAGAGCCGAGATTTTTTTTGCTTTGTTTTTTTTGCAACGTTTTGGAAAATCTATTTTTCGCAGAATTTTCACTTTTTCTCAAAAAACAACTACCAAATTTCAAAAAAAATCGTACCAATGGAAAAACCGGTTGCCTTTCTTTGTGCCTGCATATTTTGCTAATATTTTACTTTTACCTGATGTTCTACGTCTTTCGAAATTTCAGTATGGGCTTTTTGTCCTCTTTGTTTAGAGTTTTATTTTTATTTTCACATATGCACATCTGAGATGCAGGTTTCAATCAAAAGAACAACTTATGGGAATCTACCCTTCTCAATAGGCTATTGCCTAAATTCGGTAAAGCTGTGTCCTCGAACAATCCCATTATTTGACATTTTGGATAAATAAAAAAAAAATTTTGACTTTTCTCAGAAACTACTTTTAGTAAAATTATGGCCTGAGAAAATTTCCAATTTTTCACAATTCGCCCATTTTTTGGTAAGAGATTTTTTTTCGAAAATTAACCTGGTGACTCTGAGGTTGATAATTCTTCAAAACTACAACGGTGCTTAGACTTTCGCTGTGTAATCTGTTTCGCGCTATTTTCTTGCTGAAGAGCTGATATGTACTTCGGAAAATTTTTTGACGTTCTTTGCTGGAAAATTTGTCACTAGTCTTGAAAACCACAAACTAAATCTGATACTAAAAGTTCAATCTAAGAAACCAAGGTGCGGAAATCTTCAATCTAAAAACAAGTTTGTGGAAGGCAGCGGCTATTCCCATGCTTTAGAAGAGTAAAACTTATGGATATGGGAAATTTTTGATCAATTTTTTGATTTTTTTAAATTTTTTTTAAATTACCCAGCCAAATCGGAGATGAAGACTTCAATTGAAAGAGTGAGTATAGGTTTTCTCTTTTAAGATAGCATTTAATCCCCTACTTAAGCAGAGAAACACAAGGGTCGAACGTAAAGTCCACGTTTTGGAAGTTTAAAAATGACGTATTTTCGTTTCAGTACAATATTTGATTAACCTTGCGATAAGCAAAGGTTTGGGAATCGGGTACTAGATTTTTTCCCTTAAAAAATATTAAGCACAGGATCTACGCTTCTAGAGGATCTCTTCTGACAAATTTTTTCTTGAAAAATCAAATAAAAGTACAAAATAGTAACTAAGTAGTTACTGAAGAGTAGTTATTAGTTCAAACCCGTGTCAGGTTGTAATTGTCTTTTCAGAAAAACTGAAATCATAAAACTCAAAAACTCAACTCATTTTCAGTTTTTTGAAACATCTTTTTCTATCTGGTAGGGTTTCTTTTAGTTAAGTTTTTAAAGTGTCGGTTTTGTTCCAATTTGAACAGGTTTTACTATAACTGAAATTCAACAACTTCATCCATGTCTGAAAATTCACCATGTCTGATTTTGAGTTTTTCGATTTTTTTAATTTTCGATTTTTTTTTAGTTTTTATTACATGAAGTTAGTCAGCTTATTTTGCGTTATTCAGAGAGAAAAATATATTCGTATGGGATTATGTGATTTAGTTTGGGTGGGTCGTAAAAACTTTCAATTTTTATGAAGTTTTTTATGACAACTGTTTAGCGGCCCAAAATTTGTCGCCTTTGTTGCCGCTCAGTAATTGATTTCCATTTTTAAGGGTTGTTTATGAACTTCATTCGATACAAATATGAAGTTTTGGTAGGTGTAATTTTCCAACTTTGTCAAGTTATTTTTTCAAGTAATTTTTCCAACATAATTTTTCAGAATTTGAGTTTTTTTCTGATTTTTTTAAAAAGTTTTTTTCATTCACTATTTTGTAGCACAGTCTGTGTTTTGCATCGGAAGTGTTACGAAACTCGACTTCGCCTCTGTGCTTAAAACATTAGAACAGGTAGATCCAGCATTAGCTGGGCCACTCTCTTACTTCCAAGCGACGTGGAGCAGATGCGAGGAAGTCAGACTCCTGACCAACAGGTCAGATATTCAAATTCGGTAATATAAAAAGTGTTTTAGTCGAGTTTCCTTGCATAACAATAGCATTTTGATAGAAACTAGCTGCTTTATTGGTGGCTAATTTTAGTGAAATTACAAATGATCCTAGAGAAGATTTGAGAGCGTGATACTCCTAATCTCAACAATTTTTGTATGGTATAATCTTTATTTCATTATGTTTTGCCCGTTCAGATCTTTTTTTTCAACAATTTTCTCGACTGTGTTTCCAAAGCGCAGCTTCGCCTCTGTTTGACTTTTGATTTCATACGTTGAATTCAATTTAATTAGCGGAGAAGACGGTAAGTTGTGCTCTCCAAATACGAATGCAAAAATGGCGCGAAAAAATTATTTCTAGTTTTGCAAATAAATTTTATTTTCCCAGCAAAAAAAATTTAACCTATGAATCAGTTTTCTTAAGTTGGAATGATTTTATTGCAAAAGTATCAGTCATAAGGTGCTCTGGAAAATCAAAGAGCTCTATAATCATATAATGTTCTTTATTTTTGAAAATTAGTTTTCAAAAAAGTTCAGCAATGTTTTCGCCTAGCTTTCCCCATTGACATTTTTCCAACAGTCTTTTGACTGTTTGAAGCATGTTAATAATTTTTCTTATTGAAGCATACTTGTTGTATAAATCTCTGTCTGTAGATCTGAAGTGAAAATCAGATGTTAAAATTCCTTTTACTGTTAGATGTTTGAAGAAGTCAATTATTTGTTACACCGCAGATTTTTAAATGATTTTTTTAATGTTTGTTTCGCGAATGGAATCTTTGCTTCTGAGTTTGGTAAATCTCCTTTCAAAAGTGCTCAATTTCTAATTTTAATTCTTCAAAAAGAAAGACAAGGAAATCAAGTTAGTTTGGTCTTTTGATTGATTTATTCGTTTTTTGGTGAAATATTAAACTAGGTGACCGATGCAACTAATTTAATTCAGCTGAGCAAAAAAACGAGGATCTAATCGGGCGTCAATGTCGGGCCCGTGGTCATATGTAGCTTAATATCGCGTTCAAAACAATTGATCCAACCAGTAGAGATCCGGGTTTGATTTTGGCTGGTTAGGTTTATGGTTTTGTTTAGACTGAGACAAAGAGAATGTAAACCTGCCACCTAATGTAACTTATCACCCGTTTTTCTTCAAACGGAATACTAATGAGGATGTGCAAATGAGACAAAAGCAAAATTAGACAAAAAAGGCGTTAGCAAGTTGGACGAAAAATTCCACGCTTGAAAACGGAGAACTTAAACGGAATTTCAATTTTTCCAACAGCAATAAAAAAATAGGAAGCTAAACTGACATTTCATTCAGTATGTCGATCAGTTTCTGATATATCTCTATTTTTGCGTTGAGCAAGGGTTTTCAACCGCATACTAGACATTTGTTCCCGTAAATAACTTTGTTTACAGAATGATAACAATGGTTATTTTCAAGACACGCTCAATTTCCTGAAAATTCAAAACTAACTACCATTAATTAAATAGTAAATAGGTAAAATCTACTCACATCAGTAATTTTATTTCCAAATAAGTTTCTTGAACAACTTTTGAATTTTGCAGGTATAGTATTCTGCGGCCTAGTTTCTGTGTGTTCTTTTTCACGTGCACTATATGTGGAATTTACATTGTCTAGTGCGTTTTTTCATCGTCTTACTTTATTTGAAGCATAGATTGCAATTTGAGTTTCAAGTTTTTTTTTTACTTTCCTCGAATTTTTGTAACTCGTCATTTTGCTAAGTCTAATTTTTAATATTTTAAAAATTTTTTAGAATTCTCTTTTTGTTGGATTTTTTATCAGATACTTCTACGCCAAATCTGACATTTAACTTTCGTGGAAAAAAACGGGGCAGCGGTAATCTCTTTTGTATGAGCCACTACTCCCCAATTTCAATTAAAAAGTTTGTGGTCTCAGAAAAGGCCATTTTTTGGCAATTTGATCATTTTTGTAATTTTTCAAACTTTTCTAAAAAATACTCTCTCAAACTTGGGTCTAAAGATTATATAGAAAAACAAATCGTGGGATTCTTCTCTGTGTAAGCGGCTACAACCCATTTTCAGGAAAAAAATGGTTTTCCGGAAATGCACAAATAAGTACTTTTGACCGTTTTTTG